AGACAAAAAAAAAAAAAAGAATCATAAAAAAAAAAAAAAAAAAAAAAATAAAAAAAAAACAACAACAAAAAAAAAAAAAAAAAAAAAAAAAAAAAAAAATACTGAGGAAAACAGATATGTCAAATGAATGAATAGCTTATAAATTTAATTAAAATAAGAAAATAATGCTACAAATGTGATGCTTAGATTAATAAATTGAACGTATTGTTGAACAAAAACCGAAAAGTCAGATAAGTCTCAGATAAGATAGTATAACACATACTCCAAATATCGAAATGCACGTCATCGTGTCAGGATTCAACACGATGGCGTGCATTTTGATAGTTGGAGTATGTATTATACTATCATATTGTTTAAAGTACATTTAAACTTGCCCAAGTTGAGTGCAAAATGAAATCGAAAAACTGTTTAACCTAGTTATTAAACAGTTTTTCGATTTCATTTTGCACTCAAATTGGGTAAGTTTCACCTAGTTAAACAGTTTTTCGATTTCATTTTGCACTCAACTTAGGCAAGTTTAAATGTACTTTAAACAATATGATAGTATAATACATACTCCAAGTATCAAAATAATTTGACCAAAAGATTGATGATTAATGGAAAACACAGCAACCCGGCATGCAAAACAAGACCGACTCAGAAATTACTCGAGTCAGGCAATGTCGAGTTTCAATGTATACTAAAGTATATTGCATGCCGTACAAAATGAATATAAATGAAACAGAACAGAAGGCTTACATTACATGCCATACACCGAGAACAGAGAATTTTTAATATTGAATTTAAAGGAAGAAAGTCTTGGTAAATATTTAAAAGAAGTATCTAAAGAATTCTATAATTTTGGTCAATTATAAAAAAAAAATTTTTCTGAGAGAATATATATTTCTTTCCAGCGAGACATTATTTTTTACAAAGCTATTTGGATAATTGTTGTATTTCAGACTGCTGTTTTGGAAATAATAAAGGAACATGTAGGTATTAAAGTATTTATATAACGATAAATGAATGTATGGGTTTATAAGATTTTAGGATCAAAGACATTAAGTAGGGTCTACATTGAATTTATAAAATAAAGGTTTAGTGTTAGCTATGCTCGTTGACCCTGCACAGATCCTCAGAGCACGTTTTGGTAATTAAAAAATTGTTGTCAATATTAGTGGTTTTAGGACCTGTCTAGGGGCATAAATATACAAATGTGTCAACTGTCCCATGCAATGTTACAATAATAAATATAGGGTAGAACTAAAGTATTTTATAACGATAAAAGAATATTCGAGGAAAACAATTTTTTAGCTTATTTTTTATCCTATGCTTATGAAAACAGAAAATTTTAGTCAAATTAAAATCTGGGAGAGTGCCATTTCCGGCCATCTCGAGGTGATATAATCAAATCTTTTTCTTTCCTCAGCCCCACCTATGGTGGGGCTGAGGCAGGTGGTCAACTGTCAACAAAATGCAGAAGGAAAAAATGGAACAGGTTTGTCTCTAAATCTCTTTGGTAGAAAATACTATTCGCTATCAATATCTTCCTTATTTTTTATATTCGTTTCAATTACGCTTATTGCCGGATCCTTCATATGGCGTTGGATCCCTACATCCCCTCACCCCGACCCCGTGCTACATTTTAAATCAGTGATATAGGTTTTAGTTTACTTTTCATTCCATTGATGTGATTTTCTTTAAGATATCTAAATGGGCTTATACTGATGCGATGTTTGTAAAAAGGAAAATAATGAACAAATTCATCATTTGGGAAAAGGGAAAATGGCGGTGAGTTTGTTACAAAGAAGTTGCATACATTCGTAGTACGAATAACACAATGTTAGTAAACGTTTATTTTTGTAGTCTGTTTAGTTGGCCTTGTATTTTCATTATTAGCCTATTCGTCTGTAACAAATCTTTAATCTTTTTTACAATTAAATTTCTAATATTATAAAAGATAAATTACAGAAATCTTTTCACAGATATATGGAGATATTATGTTAGAAACATTTTTTTGCGAGAGAAATAAGTACGATTAACATTTGTAACAAGTAATCTTGTAAGAACAATGAAGCTAATGCCCCTTTTCGCTTTTAAACACAGAATTCTAAAAGGGGTTCAGGTGGAAGCGTCACAGTATGCCACCTAAAATCTCAAATTTCCCCTGATGGTGATCGGACTTTTGCAGGCAGAGCCACGTTCAGACGTGCCACGGCACCATATTCTCAATTACTGGACATTTCGCTAACCAACACTTCGAGACCTGAATCAAGCAGGCTTACTGCGAAAAGTTGTCGTGAGACCGAGGAAGTTTTTCCTAATGGTGATCGACCTTCCATGGGTAGAGCCACGCCCATGCGTGCAATGGCACCATATTCTCAACCACTGGACATCCCATTAACCAACACTTCGAGACCTGAATCAAGCAGGCCTGCTGAGAAAAATTGTCGTGACACCAAGGAAGTTTTTCCTCATGGTAATCGTTTCCCTGAGGGAGATCAGCCTTTCTCGGGTAGAGCCACGCCCAGATGTGCCATAGCACCAAATTTTCAACTACTGGACATACCACCAACCTACTTCTCGAGACCTGAATCAAGTAGACCTATAGCGAAAAGTTGTCCTGACACCGAGAAAGTTTTCCGTGATGGTGATCAACCTTCCGTGAGTAGAGCCACGCCCATGCGTGCAAAGGCACCACATTCTCAATCACTGGATATCCCGCTAACCAACACTTCGAGACCTGAAACAAGCAGGCCTACTGCGAAAAGTTGCTTTGACGACGGTGATCGGCCACACCCTGAAATTTTGAGAAGTGTTTCGCAACCAGTGTCGACCGTTCAAGAAGACGACAACCTCTTCTGTTCTGTATGTGAGAAGATAAAACAAAGTCGGGTTCCAAATATATATGTATATGTAAGCTGAAATGTGTAAGTAAAAATTAGGTTTTACTAAAACAAATAATATGTCTATTATTTTATTGTTATTATTATATTATCATCATCATCATCATCATCATCATCATCATCATCATCATCATCATCATCATCGTCACCATTATCATTTTTAGTGTCATATATTATTACCATCATTATTATTATCATCACTTACAATTATCATTATTAATATTATTATTGTTATTGTTGTTATTTTTTATTGTTATAGACTGTTATTGTCATTACTATTGTCATTTTTTATTGTTATAAAGGCGTAATAATATATTTTTTAATATTTATTCTGAACTGCAGAACAAACATACGCAAACCAATGAAACTAAAGGTGACAAACGCTGTATGTAACGAGTGATTTCGTATAGTAAGCATATTTAATATTTGAGTACTCAGTTATACCTCTTTTGGAACTCTTGAACTGGTCCGTGTCTTATGGCATTCATGGAATTTATGATTATTTTCCCACTCAGCAATTTATTTTCAAATTAGCTGTTGCAAATTAGTAGTTATATCTTGGCAATCTGTTGTAAATAGCTGTTTCTTATTTTTGTTTAAAATGAACTTTTCAGAACAAGCATGTCTTATATAACTTTTCTTCTTTTAGGTTGATTGAAAATGCCATTTTTTGTTTGCTTTATTAATATTAGTATGCAAATTGTGTGTGAATGTAGGATTCCTACATCTTGGCAACTGGTCTTAGGGTGTTGCTTTATCAATTCTGTGTAAGGTATTTATAAGTTAAAGCATGTTGTTGAAAATTAACTTAAATATGCAAATTAGGGATAGAAGTATAGGGCTCCCATATCTTGACTATGTCGTAATTTTAATCACAATTTTCGTATGGACGTCTGACTAAGACTTTTCTTAACTTTGGGTATTGTATTTTGTTGCATGACATGGATATGCCCATGAATATTAGTCTACCACACCATTTAACCCCCAACCCCGCAACCACCATGGGCATTGGTGCCATGGTGGTTGCCATGTTGTCACTATGTCATCAATTTTCAACACAGAAACAATCCTGACACTCGAAGAAATGTAATTACGTCCTTTATAACAGACCTCGACAGAAAGTAATTTCCGAGCTTCCGTGGAAAAAAATTCGATCAGCCTGCTCCCACCGCTTGGCTAACATAATCTCATACAAAAAGACTAGATTTAAAACCACCGTGATAATATTCTAATGTAAAATCTACTTTACATTACATTTTATGTTGAACCTCATCCCACCGGATTCTTGATCAATCATTATCTTTTAAATATTTCCTCTCTTCTGTTATACTGTGAAACTGGGACTTCATTGGTTCGAAGTTATTACAAGTTCTTACAAAGAACAGGTACAACATCCGCACTGTTCAGCAGGAAAACGTTCTTGGGGAACAGATTATTGAAACCTGCACAAATCTGATTTTAGATAGTAGTTACGTCATTGCAGTTGTTTCTTCGGAGCTTCTCAACGAGGGTTTTGCTCGCTGGCTACTTAATAGGGCATTTGATGAGGGTAACTTGCGCAACTATAATTTTCTGTTGCCGATTGTTCTAGGCAACTGTGAGCTTCCAGAGACAATGAAAACCATAGGTTCACTTAAAATATCTAGTAACAACAATACAAACATAGACGAAATATATGAGCGTTTACTTTTCCATTTTCTCTCACAGGGTGAAGGCACAGTCTCGTCTCCAAGCTGAAGCCTGCCACTTATCTCATATGCTACTATTCCTAATGTTGAAAAAATAGGCCTACCAATGAACATTTTCAGCTTTTTATTCTTCTTTTATTCTTTCTCCACTTACCTGGTAGTAATTATAACTGTTTAATTTTTGTTCAATTTAAATTAATATTTTGAACTACTTTATTAAACAAATATCTCAGTGACCTAGACCAACCTACATTTGCTAGAATTTCTGATACAAAACGTGTCTGTAGCATATACTGCCGACGCTCTTACACACTAGCAATATCTAAATAGACTATTTGTAAAACGGTGTTTATACTGTACAGTGGGGGTGGGGGTATGGTTATTAATAAGAATGTTTGCAGCTAATGAAAAAAAAATTGAACTGTGTGCTGTAAATAACAAAATATTTTTTTTAAATTCTTTAGGTCATTTGTTAATTTGTTTTTTTTAATTATTTATTATTTATGTTTGGGGTCCCAATTTTTTCATTGTTTCTTTTAAATTTATTAATTTAATTATAGTTATAAATTGTAATTATTAATCCTAACCATAAAGTAGTATTACTGTCTTTTGTTGTTTGTTTTGTATATACTTGTCAAGGCATAAGAAGCGGTCCGGCTGGTTCGGTATTGGCCGAATCAATAATTAACCCATCAATATCGTTTGTATGTCAAAAATGTTCTTTTAACTTCTTCAAAAGATAATGATACCACATATTACGCTGTACATGCCAGAAAACAGCAACTTACATTTCATTGCATACTTTTTAAATACAGTTTGCCCTCCAATTCAGGTCTCGAACTAAAGGGTGCACTTTCCTATTCCAATTCGAAATCACCCTGGGACCTGTAACTTAAGATGGTCTTGGGGTTCGGTCGATCTCCAATTAGAGAGTTAGCCTTGTGTTTACAAAATTGATCTTTTTTATTTGGTTCCGAAAAAACGGTCTCAAAAACGCCGGAGTGGCCGGGGGCTTCACCCACATACTCCCAGCGGGGCACTTCGTGGCCCCCGGCCCCCAATGTATTTTGCTGAGAAGGGTTTTGAGAGGGTGTTTATTCGGGGGCGTTTACTTTATTTTATTTTTTAGTGTAAAATAAATATATACACTCAAATTAAATGAACCTTAATTCCACTGTAAATGTGGAACTATAACATATAATTACCGGCAAAATGTGTTATTGTGGGATCATAAATACTTCCGGTATTGATGCAAATCAGGTTAGAAAAAAAATTATTCTACTGGATTAGAGAATTATTATAGAATGAGTTGAGAATAATGCTACTTCCATTAGTTTAATTTACAAACATTTAGTGGGCATTAATTCGAGGACAAAATACACTCCCTAGGGTACAATAAACGTTCCCATTAACACCCGGGTGCCTATGAGAACGTTTATTCCAATTGAGGCTTTGGAGAGGGGGAGTTTATTCGAGGGGGAGTTAATTCAAAGCGGAGAGTTTATTCAACTACATTAGGCCTATATACGGTAAATCAAAACAAAAAACTCGTGCCCAACGCTCGCGAATGTTAATAACGTTTAAAGTTTGCCGGGTAGTTTTAATTCTTTTAAAATTACTAATTTTAATTGTGATGTATTTCAACTAATGCCAATATTTGTATTACATTTCCTTAAATGTTTTACAAGAACTATTTTGTTTTTACCTATTTAGTTAGTTATATTAAACTGTAAGACCCCAACGGAAAATAAGGTAGGCCTGTCTTTTTTTTTTACATATTTCGGGCTATACTTAACAGGAGTAGCACTAGTGGGGGCCCCGGCTGAGAGAGCCCCCCCCCCAACCCCGTCGGGGGGGGGGGGGAAACCACAATTCGTCGGGGAGAAAAAACAGAATTTTCTACATATTAGTAGTCTCTAAAATCAATTAAATAAGCTTTTGAATCACCATTTTCGAAATACTTTGGTCGATAAAGGGAACAGAATAATTTTTGTCATTTGAGATCATCATTTTCTTTTTCATAAAATAGTTTTAATGCTTACACTTTCAACCCCTCTGCAACTAAAGCGTATGTTTCGTTGAAAATTATGGATGGCCCTGTAGCTACAGTAGCCTAGTCAGGATTACTATGAAGCTTTTGTTCTCTGTAGGATATTACTTCCTGGATAAAATTTAGCCTATCTTAGAATAGTTGGGGTTTTCCAATGTATTTTAGGTCCACTACGTTTTAACAGGACTTTGTTCTTAAGCGCTTCAACTTCTGGCAAATTTCGGATACAAGGTAGGCGTAGGACGTACAGTAAGAGTACAAAACATACTATTTTCTTGGACTATTTCTCTCCCTCGGAAAGTGAACACAATACTTTTTGTCTTTTGAGATCATCATTTTATCTTTTTCATAAAAGAGTATGCTTACACTTTCTACCCCTCTGCAACTAAAGCGTATGTTTCGTTGAAAATTATGGATGACCCTGTAGCTAGCCTAGTCAGGATTACTATGAATTGTTTCTCTATAGGAAATTACTTCCTGGATAAAATTTAGACTATCTTAAAATAGTTGGGGTTTTCCAATGTATTCTGGGCCCACTACATTTTATAGGACTTTGTTATAAATCGTTTCAACTTCTGGCAAATTTCGGATACAAGGTAGGAGTAGGACCACTAAATTATCTACTGTATACAATGGTCATTAATTTTTAGACCTATAACAACACATTAGTTGTATTCCCATTGGTGTATTGCAAAACTCGGAAGTTAGCAAGTGAGGTTGAAGAAGACACCAGGCCTAGGCCTATAATTACAGGTCAGTTATTCTGATTTCGGGCTAGGCCTAGCCTTCGTCATATCCCTTATACGGTGAATGTCATTTTGAGCTTACTGTCTGGCCAAACGTGTGCCGGCAAAATTTTCCCAACGGATGTCTGATGTCCCTGACCAGTGATGGGGTGGGGGGGGTTGGCTTTCCGCGATGGTATCGTAAGTGGGCGTCGTTGTCGTGGTTGGCGAAAAACGCCGTGGCTAGAGATACGGTACCGTATTTCTACTTCAATTTGCTAAAGGTACGGTAAATGGCATTACGTCACCATCACCCAATGAAGTGCCAGAGTGTGTGTGACGTCATTTTTCAAGACTGGCATTGGCATTGCAGGTCACCCGTGATGAGCGGTGAAACGAGAACCATGTACAGTTCTGGGAAACAACATCAAAAAGTACAATATTGTTTGACTATTAGTACTGTTATCGATAAATAGGCTTATGGTTCCATTTAGTAAAGAGTTTCATTTAGCTAGGCTTATTATGTATAACCATTATCAAACAAGGACTGATTCCAACAAACTCTTGGCATGCCTCTAGGTCCTTGCTTAAATTCTTCGCTTGGCGAAAAATCTAAGCAAGCCTGCTCGGCTTCGCTTCGATTCTGCTTTTCACGGCAGCTGCTCTGGTGACATTGATCTAAGTGGCATAGGCCTATATCAGTCATATATCATGGACCTATTCGAGCAACGAAATGTTGATTGACGTTTGTATACGCGCATCTGTAAAGTTTCCTTGAAACCCACCATCGAGCATGAAGAAAAAATAATGGAATTACCTCCCTTCGTAAATTCTGTATTTAGGCACATGGGAGGTAGGCACTATTTATGGAGCGACGCTATAGTTATCTTTATGCTAACCATGAAAATGTAAAATAATTGTAACTCATTGGCTTAATACAACCACATTTAACTCCATCTAATTTAAAGTAAAAGGTACTTAATTAGGCCATTACAAAAAATAAAGTTCTCTGAAGGTTAATTTGGGATTTACAGTACGCTGTAGTGTGTTGTAGGTTGTAAAAACTTTATTGAATAAACAAAATTTTCGAATAAAAAAATCTTTCGCTTGACATTAGGAATTAGTCATTTATGAAACAAAATTATAGGCTATGTAAAGTGTTATATTGAACAGTGGCGGATTTAAGGGGAGCCCGTTCAGTACCGACCTCCTACTTTTTTCGAAATTTTTTTGGAGTGGGGTTGAATAGCTCAGTATTTAAGATTCTTGCCTTCTGGTCCCAGGGTCCGGGCTTCAAATCCTGCATGCCACAGCAATCAACTCCACTCCCTTAGTTTATAAAGCATCAATCTCATCCTGTAAGTGGAGAGTGCACTTGCTGTTGGATCTGAAGGAAATTTAAAAAAAATGAAAAAAAGAAATTATATAAAAAAAATGGAGAAAACAGACAAAATTGTATTTAACTTTTAATCTGAGAGTGCCATTTTCGGCCATCTAGAGGTGCCATAATCATAATTTTTTCTTACCTCAACCCCAGCCGTTGTTAGGCTGAGGTGGGTGGACATTTAATTTGCGCAAGACCCTCCCTGGGTCCCCTCTATTTCGACTTGTTGGACCCGCTACAATTCGAGTATGATTTCCGGGCTACTATATAAGGGTAATTTTTATCTATTGGGGGAAAAGTAAAGGTTTCGTCGGGGAATACCCATATTAAGGATACCTGTCATGATGGCGGATTCAGTGGGGGGAGGCTAAATTATTTAAACATTAAAAAAAAAACAATTCTGAAAAACAAGTCTGAGAGTGCAATTTCTGGCAATCACAAATTTTCGTACCTCAGCCCCAACCATGGTGGGGCCGAGGTGGTTTAGATCCTCCATCTGTGTAAGCACCCAGTGGCAGTTTCAATGGGACCCAGCCGCCCCCACCACACCTAAATTGTCCTATATAAAAATGGAGATATAAAGAAAATTATATTCAAATTTTATGCCTGGAAGTGCAATTTCCGGCCATCTAAAGGTGCCATAATCACAATTTTTTAAAGAAAATTTAGTATAGATCCTCTATCTGTGAATGTACCCCCGGCTCCCTCTATTTCGAATTCCTGGATCCGCCACTGGAAATTGCAACAATTATGATATTACAGTAGCTTGATGCCTATAAAATAACTAATAAAATTCACCAAACTTCGTCAAATATCCGTAGCTTCCAGGGGATCGCCCCCTGGACCCCCATCGGGGCCCTTGGCAGCCCCCTGGCCCCTAGTTTAGATGCTCGCTTTAGCTCGCATACTGGAACTTATGAAATAGCCCCCTCCCTACTTTCAAAAACGTTCCGCCGCCGTTGGGCCCTCAGAACCAACTTCCGCCAGTCGAAAGTTTCTAGCTATTATTTTGTTGAAAGTTCGAATCCCACTAAAGGCAAATGATTTCACACTGTATATGGTATGTGGATACAACACTATCACGATATTCGACGCACACACACACACACACACACACACACATGAAGCACGAGGAAGAGATTTTTTTGTATAAGGAATTAATATGTAAAAATAGGAGCTCTAAACCCTCTGGCGGTAAAGTAAATGCTTCCTTTTCTATAAGTTAAGCTCACGTTAAATTGTTTCGTTCTTTTCTATTTTCGTATTGTATGTTTTATTCCTCGTTGCCTTAAATACACACATGTGCTCAACAATGTTTAGATGGAAAACAGCAATTGCTATGTTTTAACTCTCAAATACATGTTTTTGTTTTAAAAAAATTAGCTCATCAATCATGAAATTCAAAAAGACAATCACTTAACGAAGAGTCTGTGCCTGCAAAGATGTTCGTATGCAAGATGGATACCAAAAAACGTAACTTATTTGTTGAACACTACGATGCTCTGGTGGATCGTTCTGAACACGTAGAAGTCTTGGATCGTAAACCTATCCACGAATGTATTGATTTTGTATATTGCATGTGTAAAAAAGTAAGCCGCAAGACAACTAATTAGGCCTACTATTACTATTAGTATTTCATATTAACATTTTATTCAAAGGTTCTGTGTTCATTTTTGTCTAAAACAGAAACTTGCCGACCAGGTTGGTCAGAACAAGGCGGCACTGGAGCCTCGCTCAGCCTGACGAGGTGGAGGCGGGGGTGTATGGAGAGAAATTTTGTGGATTAGGATCAGCCAAAATTGTATTTATATTAAAAGAAACAATAGCAATATAAAGCATAGGCCTATAACTCAAAGAGAATACATTGATTATGTGCATGCATAGTTTTTATTCATATTTTTGTTCTAGGTACAAGAATTGGGAAATAACGATGAAAAATTAGTTTTATATCTGAAGATTGTAAAGTAAGTATCAACAAGTTATAACTTTTCAGACTATTAGTATAATCTTTACATAGCTAGATTAATACAGTTTAGTAGGTTATAATTTTGGAAAACGTAATACCAACTTTTTCTAAGCCGCTTGGTGATATTTTCCAATTCGTCTTATTCAATTAAATTTTCACCATGGAAGTAATAGTATTCCTTATGTTTTTACCAGAGCCATTTCCCTCCTAAACAGCGCCACCAGCGATAAATTTAATTTTAGATATGGAAGCAATAAGTATGGCACGCCAATTAATTTTGTATATGACGTGTACTGAATGCAATACAATTTTTATATTCATAAGGGTTTAGGACCTGGTTAACCCATGCTATGGCTAGGTTATGTGAGTCCAATTCAACGATCGGGGTTGGAGACAAGTGTACAAGGTGCATTATAAATTTGTTTAGTGTGGGTTTAATAAAGAAACAAATAAGTGGGTACTTGTTTGGCTTGCTTACAAAGACTACCTCAGTGAAATTATCATTAGACCTGAAATTAAATAATCTTGTGCCATTAGATATTACTTATAATGCCTATTTACATTCCCAGGTATGTTTCAAATATGACCGATCATCCGACTTGGACAACTCTCAACAAAAAGCAGAAACAAAAAATGGAACAGGTCTGTCTCTAAATCTCTTCCTTTTTTTATATTCATTCCGATAATTTTCACTGCTGAATCCCTCATGTGGTCAATTTTTCCCCCACCCCCTTGTCGTCTTTTATATCAATGATAAAAATTTTTCTTAACTTTTCATTTCATTGATGTGAGTCTTTTTTTCCTAAGATATCTCAATGGGCTTACAAAAATGCGATGCTTGTAAAAATGAAAATAATGCTTAGATTCACCAAAGGAGGAAATATGGAGGTAAGTTTGTTACAAAGAAGTTGCAAACATACTTAATACAAATGCCACAATAGTAGAGGTTTACTGTTCGTCATTTCGTAATGTTTGTTTCGCTGGCCTTATATTTTTATTGTCAGTCTATTCCTCTCGAACACATATTTAATCATGTTTTACAAATAGTCCTGTTTATCTTTTAAACTCATATTATATATAATAGAAGGTTATACTAGAGAAAACTTCTCACAAAAATTACGAGACATTATGTTAGAAAAAGTTTACTCCAAGAGAAATAGGTACAATTTAATTAGTTTGTAACAAGTAATCCTGTAAGAACATGAAGTTAATACCCTTTTTTCACTTTTAAAAACAGAACAGCCCCACAGTACACCACTCCAAATCTCAAATTTTCTTTGATGGTAATCGACTTTCCTCTGGTAGAGTCACGCCCAGACGTGCAATGGCACCAGATTTTCAGCCAATGGGCATCCAAATAAACAACACCTCGAGACCTAAATCAAGTACCCCTACTGCCAAAAGTTGTCCAGATACCGAAGAAGTTTTGGTTGATGGTGATCGGCCACACCCTCAAATGTGGAGAAGTCTTTCGCAACCATCATTGGCGACCATTCGAGACGAAGACCACCCCTTCTGTTTTGTATGTGCAAAGGAAGGTCTGGTTGCAAAAATTAAATGTACATGTAAGCTGAAATGTGTAAGTAAAAATTAAGTTTTCAAAAACATATTAGGCCTATTATTATTATTATTATTATTATTATTGTTATTGTTATTGTTACTATTATTGTTATTATTATTGTTGTCGTTGTCGTTGTTGTTGTTGTTGTAGTGTAGTGTTGTAGGAATATTATTACCATAATTATTATAATCATCATTTACCATTGTCATTACTAATATTATTATTGTTATTTTTTTTATTGTTACAGCCTGTTATTGTCATTGCAATTGTCATTTTATTGTTATAAAGGCCTAATAATTTTTAAAAAAATATTTATTCTGAACTGCAGAACAAACATACGCAAACCAACGAAACTAAAGGTGCCCATAAACGATGTAAGTAGGCCTATAACGAATGATTTCGTGCAGTAGGAATACTTAATATTTGAGTATTCAATAGTACCTCATTTGGAACTCCTGATCTGGTTCGTGTTTTATGGCATTCATGGAATTTATAATCAATTTTCCACTCAGCCATTTATTTGCAAATTAGCTGTTGCAAATTAAGAGTTATATCTTGGCAATCTGTTGTAAATAGTTGTTGCTTCTTTTTGTTAAAAATTAACTTTTCAGAACAAGCATGTTATGGAACATTTTTTTTTTCTTTTATAAATGACTGGAAATATCATTTTTTGTTAACTATATGCAAATTTAGTGTGAATGAGGCATTTGAAGGAGATTACAGGCAAATACCGTAAAACCTCGAATAAGCCCTGGGCTTCTTCTAGTTTTTAAGACCATTGGATGGCCTTCTTTTTAAGATTACATTTTCAAAAAAGGGGCCTTTTTTCAAAATGAATGCTGTAAATTTTGGAATTGCTACTATACAATATTTTCCAATTATGAAATTCAAAACTCTGTTTAATATTTTTAAAATGTTAACCATGCTAGTACCACATAATACTATGATACTGACATGCTATCATCATCAACATGCTATCATCATTTTCATCATCAACATCATTATCATCATCAACATCATCATCATCATCATAATCATATCATCATCGTCATCAAAGATAATGCCAGTCTGAATGTAAGTACTATCTCGAAAAAAACCCTATATGATCTTGATTGGAAGCCCATGGGCTTTTTTTCGGGATGGGGTTTTTTCCGAGATCATTTTTGCAAACTGAAAAGGGGTGGGGGTAGAGAGGGCTGTTTTTCGAGATAAGGATCTTCTCGAGATTAAGCCGATGGGTTACTCTACTACTGTATATCTTCAAACAACTGAACCACAAATCCGCAAATGTTCTGGGCTTTCGGTTTCGATTACTACCAATTCATTGCCACACGTCCTTCATGGTTCTTTTTATAGTAAATTACAAAACATCATTTTCCTATGGACGTCCGACGGCCGTTGTGCTCGGTAGACCTATGGCTCCCCAGATATGGGTTGTTTTATGTGCTTGCCAAATGTTTTCGCTTAGAAAGTAGACCCGTCTACTATTACAAAAGAATAAACAATTATGAAGATAATGCATGCGTTATAATTGATTATTGCTGATTTCGTTCATATCTTAACAAGATTACATAAAGCCATTAGTCTGCCACACCATTTTATTCACTATCTTTTGTAAATATTTTCCTTATTAGACGATGCTCTTCTATTATACTATGAAACTGGGGACGTCATTGGCTCGAAGCTACTACAACGTCTTACAGAGAACGGTTACACTATCTGCACTCTCCAGCGAGAAAATGTACTTGGGGAACAGATCACTGAAACCTACACAAAATTGATTTTAGATAGTAGGTACGTCATCGCTGTCGTTTCTGCTGAACTTCTCAATGATGCTTTTGCTCTCTGGGTACTTAATAGGGCATTTGATGAGAGCATCCAGTGTGATTATAATTTTTTGTTGCCAATTGTTCTAGATAACTGTGAACTTCCAAAGACCATGAGAACCATAGGGTCTCTTAAAGTATCTAGTAACAACAATACAAATATAGACGAAATATATGAGCGCTTACTTGTCGATTTCGACCCACAGGTTGAAGGTGCGTCGCCAAGCTGAAGCCATACACTTCTGACCATTGCGACTATCACTTACCTATTATCATAATTTTAAAAGATAATAGGCCTACCATGGCATACCAATGGACACTATCAACTTTTATTCATTCTCACTTTACTAGTAATATTAACTGTATTAGTAACTGTTGTCAATTTATATTAATATTGTGAAATGGTTTACACAAACAAGTGGCCTAGACCAGGTAGTTGTTATTTAGATAAATAACAACTCCCTGTCTAGACCAACCTGCCTTTGATAGAATTTCTGATACAAAATGAGTCTGTAGCATATACTTACGGTGGTGCTGTTACCGAGGGGCAATGTCTAAATATACTATTTCGTAAAAAGGTGTTTATATGTACAGGGGTTTTTAAATACAAATGTTTGTAGCTAATAGGCCTAAACAATTAAACTGTGTGCTGTAAATAACAAAATGTATCGTTTAAAGTAAGGCAGATTTATTCTTCAATTTTAAGATAATTTTTTTTAAATTACTTAGGTCGTTTTTGATTTGTTTTGATTTATTTATTTATTATTTATGTTTTGGTTTCCTATTTTTTCATTGCTTCTTTTAAATTTATGAATTTAATGATAGTTATGAATTGCAATTGTTGGATTAATAGTCATGAGAGATAAACAAAAATTATTATTAATCCCTACTTCGGTAGTATTACTGGTTTTTGCTGTTTATTTTGTATATACTTGTCAAGGCCATAGGAAGCGGTCCGGCTGGTATTTAGTCCAGTCAGTCTACGAAAAAAATGGGTAAACCCGGAACAAATTGCAATAGTAATTTTTTTTTTATTATTTACCATTTTATTCATTTAATCATACATTACATTTAAAATGAAAATAAACAAAAACAATTAAATAAGTGCCCTTCTTTTCAATACTTACGAGTAGTATACATAACAACATTGAAAATTTTTATAAATTCTTTTACTAGTGAAAATATAATATTGTATTTCATATTCAAAACTTGTACCATTACGTTAGGTGAACTATTTATATACCAGAAGCCAGGGTAAGGCCATGACTTGAAACATTTAAATATTCATTATTTATTTGAAGCTTTGAAAAAGAA